CCTGCTCACACAGCCCTGTCTGTACAACAATTCTTGACCAAAAATGGTATGACCCTTGTTCCTCACCCTCCATACGCAGCTGACCTTGCCCGTGCGACTTTTTTTTGTTTCCTCGAATGAAAGGAAAAACGACGGAGGCGCTGTCAAGCATCTCAAGAGATGAATTTAGACAATGTTTTGAAAAATGGAATAAAAGACTAGACAAGTGTATTAGTGTAAGTGGAGAGTACTATGGAGGGGACTGAAGGTTTGTGCTTAAAAGTTGAATAAATAAGTTTAAAAAAAATAAGTTCGGTTTCTTTTGGGTACCCCCTCGTATTAGGTAAAATACTGTGAATTCACCCAAATATGCTTTTCTAATTTACTTCTGAAATCATTTTGCACATTACACAACTGTGTATCTTTTGCACCAGTAAATATAACATACCTATATTTAACCATTCAAATACTATGAACACTATAACATTTCAGGATATCATGAATTGAAGAACAGAGAAGTGACAGAAATTTAATCTCTAATTCATATTCTTAATATCACAGGAGGTCTTCAATTACATGAAACTTGACAATTTCTGGAGAAGATACAATCGAGCTTACTTAGAACGGGCTGCACTGAGTCTTCACAAAGAAACACTCATTCTTGAGAATCAGCAACTCACAAGAGCACTGCAACAGTATTTGGCAACAATGGCCCAAGGAAAGCACCATTCACCACTGCTGGGAACTTCGCTGTCAGTAGCAAGACCAGTGTCGACTCATATCATCAGGGAGCACATCAATCTGATGCCAAATACGGGGGAAGAGAAGGAGAAATGCAAGAGGCAACCCAAAGTCAGGCCTGTAACATGCATTGAGGCCAACACTAGTGTTGCAGTAAGGCATATGTTGCGTTGTGGGGCATTCCAAACTTAGAACAGTATGACAGATTTGTCATGTGCATACAGATGGCCAATTTACACATAGAGTAGCTGCACAACCAATCTTGGCATTATTTAGAAAAGTATGTAAACTTTAATATTTTCTTTGTATATACTCGTAACTGCTGAGGACATGATAGTATTGTAGCAGACACCATCATTATAGGAGTTTCATAATTTGCATTTGTCAGACTAATGATGTTAGGATACGTAGTACATATGAGAGAAATTAATAGTTATTTCTAATCAGAAAACCTAAAGAAAAGAGACTTATTACATATTAATATAATGAAAATTCAACCATGGAAACACATTACAGTTTCCTACTCATGCTCCCCGATTTTTTTTTGTGTATCTGTTATAATATTTTGTGTTCATTTTTATTTACTGTGTTTTTCATTCACGATTAATTACTTTTCTCTCATCTCTCTCTTTTTTTTTATTTTCCTAAAGAAATTTGTTCAGACAGTATACCACTGATCCATTTTTCATATTGAGCAGGTTTATTCAAACAATAATACATCTGACTTGAATTGTAGAAGAACCAAATTCGAATCTTCATCCACTGGCCCACATCTGTAACAGATCTGTCATGCTTTTCTTTTTTCCTTCCATGCCAGTGCAGTTACTTTTGCAGAATGAATAGCATTGTTAGTGGGACATGATAGCTGGATGGAACATGAAATTTAAAAAAATATGAATTTCCATTAATGATTAATATGACACAAAAATATGCATAATTGTGAAAATAGACTTTTTGGAAAGGTAGAAGCTTTGTTTATATTATGGTGGATTAAAGTATTTTTGACAAAATGATCAGTTGGACACAATATGCAGAAGTTAAGACTCACTGCTTTCAACAAGAACATCCCTCTCTCTGTCATACTTGGTTGATGTACCCATATATGTAACATACCTCACAGGAACAGAGATAACATTTACCAAACAGTAATTCAGAAATCTTCTTCTATCCTACTACAATCCAGAGTCCTGCCATAAGAATAATTTTACATAGTACTTTTATGTGAAATATGAAATAACACCAAAGTGACTGGCCATTCATATTATTCTTCCATTTCATAAGGCAACTGACGAACGACTGTACCTAAAGTTGTGTAAGTATGATAGTAGACTATAACCGGAACCATCATGTTTGGCAATCTGACATCCATTCAGCTGGTCAAGAAAACTCCCCATATTTTATATATTCTGGAGATTTAGAACTGTGTTCGCAAGACAGAGAATTTTGTATGAAGCATTTAAATATTATGTTCAAAGTTACATGGAGAAGACACAAACCTTTAGTGTCATGTGTATAAGATTTGGGGCACTGTAAACCTATACTTATCGAATTTATTGTAAGACATAATAATCATATTATGTAATTATTAATTTATAATTCAACTAGCATCTCTATAGATGTAGAAGCATTAAAATATTGAAGACAAAATAAACATTATCTGGAAGCATTTGATTATTTTATGTAGTTTCCAAATCAGAGTATTGCTACTATAAGCCTACTCTTATTGTATGATTAAGTTGTAAAAAATGTTAGCTGCAGAAATCATTCAGATGTGAGTACTAATAAAATAGTAATTAGCTTATATCCCACACTCATTACATACAACCAAACATTTTTGAGAAAAACATGTGAAAAGTAAAATTATACCCATGTCTAAACATCATGCCACAAAAGTGTATGTAGCCATGTGCAATATCATGGTATATATATTAAAATTTGCTGCTAAAAGTTGCACATTTAAAACACTTCTGAGAGGGCAACAAATTCTGAGGGGGAGTTCACTGCTGAGCATGTAAAACAGAACTATTGCACATGGTAAGTAGGATGTATCTGCAAAAAATTTTTAAGAATAACATTTTAATAACTTGCATAACTGTAGTGATTCTTTCTATGTGTGCATTCAAATACGCTTCAGCACAAATATGTTACCTGAAGGCTAGAAAGAGAAAGTTTTAGAAGATTTCAATTCTGTGGAAAGTTTCAGTGCCACATGTTCTGCATTTAGCTGCACTCATATTCAAAATGCAATGAATTTCCCATAATATCATGTGGAGATCAGTGAGGACCAGTGTGTAATGTAGCTTCCTCATCTACCTAGGTCATGCTGCAACAAATGGACGAATGCTTATTGGGTGGGGAGGATTCAGCCTATTTTAATGTACTATCTCAGCATTTGGCTGGAGGAACTGAAAATAAAATAAAAATATATCAGAATAGCTTATTCAAGGTGACAATTTGGAACAGTGGTCAGTATTAAGCTAATCTTATGCATATAAAAATATTGTATTGTAGTATATGGCTTGGGGGACAACTTTTGGTCACACCCTATGCATTCATGTCTGCTGGGTCCATTTTAGATCCCCATTGCTGCTTTGGATCCGACTATTATATACTGAATTGCAAATACCATGTAATTGCCATGTGGCAAAAGACTACTGATTTTAATATACACTTTTCACAGTATTAAGATAAATGTGTGCCAGTTTTGTTACATCATAATTATAGTTTTGTTTGCAAAGAATTTTTAGCCTTTGTCCTATTTAAAAATTAGAAAAAGTTTTATTTTTAGTCAAGTAATTTAAAGTTATGTGCTGTGGCTCAAAATTACTTTGGTCTGTAATTCATTCATACTTAAGTAAAGCCTTGATGGAAATGTTTAAATGATGTCTGAGCATTAGCAGTATTCAGTACTTGCATCATGTATAGTAAACGATTCTCTGCCTTGCAAACTGTATTAAGCTTCTTTTATAAGTTGACAAATAAAATATATTTCTATGTCCTCCTTCTGTAATCATAATGGGAATTTCTGTGTTAAGTAAGTAAAGTAAAAAAGTAAGGCTATCCCTGTAACAGGGCACGAAGGCCTATAGGGTTGTGAGATGTTGAGGGTCCCACATTATCTAGACAATCGGCTCAAATATGGCAGTAAGGTTGTCAGCCTTACACACCAGCCGTGCTTTAGTCCCCAAGAGAATTATTTAATTAATTCCTGGTACTCATTTCTGTTAGAGGCTGAGTCGACCCCAGGGCCATGGTGCGGCTGGAAGGATTAGGTCAACTGAATAAAATCCAATGACCTCATTGGGACTTGAACCCGTGACTTTTTAACTTGTAGCATAATCCCTCAACCAACTACGCTACTGCATGTCTCCATTTCCGTGTTAAGCTTTAAAAAATTAACCTGTATGCTGATTCTATGTGACCATTACATGAAGTGCATAAAATGAGCATGCAATGAATAGGTCGTGTCCATCCTGCTCCAGTCAGCTTTCATCTGTGAAATTACTTGATGGAGTTTGATGAAATTTGTTATTAGCAGTTTACACTAAACTGTGAAGAAAGTTCTATTTTAATTTATACTGGTCCAGTATACGCAGTACTTTACAATGACAGTCAAATCTGATTTAATCTACTTCTTACAAATGGCTTATCATAGAAAAGAATTGGTACATGATACAAAATGTACAGCTCATTTAGATTTGTCACTTTCACTAAAAACACCCTTTGATTCACAGAATAAGTGAAGAAATATAAAGCAAAATATTTTTTGATTATGCAGTATATCTGCAGTGTGATCAGCTGTGCAACTATAAATTTTGTGTCTGCAATAAATGAACATAAACACCAATGAACTATGCAGTATCACAGTATACTTGGAAAATACATGTCCTCCAAAATGGAATACACCTTTCCAATATTGTTCTGTGTGAACTGTTACCATAGCAACAGTATAAACAAGCAGTGGTTACAAGTAAGAGCATCTGAGATTAAATATGTCATAGCCAGGTTATCTGTTTGAAATTACACAAACTTGCCTCCAAATTTGAGGCTTGTGGTATATAAAAAGTCTCTTAGTATGTTGACATCAGTTGGTACAAAATCTAAATCTCCTGCATTTGTAGATCAGCAATCTAATGAAGAAAGCGGTGTTTCGCAGGTAGATTTAGAGTTAGCTACTGAGACACAACGAATTGCCAATATACTGAATTACACCATCTGCAAAATTGAATTAGTGGTAAGTCTAATGAATATATAGGCTGTGAGCAATACAATACTCTCAGTTTCTTTAATATAATTTTTGTAACTGTTCTTTTTAAGTCTGTGTTGGCAACTGAAATATCACCATATCAGATCTTAAAATTAATATAAATGAACCTGACGTTTACTGACCTCCTGTAGCTCTGTCATGCAGCTGATGTCCATTTGACTTACAGCACACTGCACATTTTCAAACAGTATACAGGCATCCTGCATAAGTGAAAGACACCTTTTTAGTGCCATTTCCTAGTGTTAATTCAACTGTTGTTGAAGTCTGTCAATAGCTGATGTACTGAACCTTTGTAATGCCATCAGATATGCCTGCCACTGCTACTACAGAATGATGGAGAGTTGCTTCGTCCACACATGAAGAAAGAAGAAATGTCTCTAGTTCTTGAAACCTGCTCTTCCTACATAAATGAACCAGATGACCTTGAATCAGAACTCAGTACTATTGAAAATACTGAAGAGTGGGAAGCTAACAGTCAAAATGACATTGCAAAGGATGGAACTGATTTTAATCAAACACTGTCCTGTAATAATTCTTTCTTCAAGCAGTTTAAGAGTTTTGGCAGACAGAATCCAGAGATCTGCAAGGTCATTCAGCTCTTATGGAGTAACCCATCTGTCAGAAGTATGGTGAAGGATTTACAAAAAGAGGTTTGAAAATAGTGTTCTTATAGTCATTGCTACAACATTCACACATTATATCAACAACACATAAGCTGTGCCCTTTCATGGTGAGTAAAATAAAATCTTCCTGGGAGATCAACCATATCAATTTTGGGTCCATGCCTGATGTTTCAGAGATCTGGGACCCAACATTATTCCACAATTTGTTGAATAAAACATAAGTTTTTTATTTTTTCAAAAATTGACAATTTAAGATGTTAAGAAAATACATCTTCTAAAATCCTAATCTTAATGCTGTAACTCAAGTGTCATATATTAGTAAAGCTGATTTAAAGTGATTTGTTAAGAGAGGATTAAATGTTGTACATTAAAAATAAAATATTTGTGTCAGAGTTTACGGTGGCACAAAAGGGGATTTTAGTTTTGTAAGTAGTACTTAGCGAAACTTACATCTAAAGTATTTTATATTCATTATAGTATATCTTAGGTGCAAAACATGCACTGAGTCGTTCAATCTTCCATTGTTTATTTTATGTGCAAGAGGATTAGTATTTGTGTATATTTCTTGCTACCTTCTCTGTTTCTTCTCTTTAGGTACAATAAATCATTTATGATATTTCGGAACAACAAAAGCAATAAATGAATAAACTAGTGATTCAAGCATATAACATTAAAATGCATCTTATGGAAATATTTTGTAAGGATGAGCAGTAAATGGAAGTGGTTCAGGAGGTACTGTACTGAATGGTGGGCTCTGGTATTGGTGGTGTTGGACATTCAAGTTCTAGAACCAGGGAGTCAGCAATGACTTGGTATTTTTTACTGTAACACTATTGCTTCCTCTACTGAAGGAATAAAAAATAAGATGTCTGAAAATAGAATATTTAGAAGAATGCATGGCTGTAAGAGAAAGCTGTAATAGGAGGGTGTTGAAAATTACATAATGAGGAGTTTCACAATTTGTACTCTAAATCTATTATGTCAGGGTGATTGAATCAAGGACCAAAGGAATATGGAAGTGTTTTATGCATGCAAAATGTCTTTCATAAATTTCACAGGATGAGTGATCATTTGGAGGACTTCAGCGTAGATGGAAGAGTATATTAAAATGATTTTGGAGAAGTGTGCAGTCACCCAGCCTTGGTGCAGTCTCTGCTATTGTGTAGGTTACTCTTAGCTTCCCTCACCTCTTACCAGCTGGCAAGTTAGCATGCTAGACTTCAGGCAGCAAGGTTGTCTGGATAATTGATACTACGCCCTATCAACAATGCTGAGGTGGAAACCCATATGAGGGTCTTAAAGAGACAAAACAGGTTAATAAAAGCCTTCCCCGAAGCAGATTACGATGATGATGGTGAAGTCAGTGGTGCAAGAACTTCCTTGAAAATATGATTATGATTAAAAAATTGTAATGCTTTTAAAAAACCTGAACATTCAGTGTCAAAAGCTATCCACTGGACCCAATCCTGAACCAGCTGAATAACTTCCCATTTCTCTAACATTCATTAAGATATTATCCTTCCATCTATAACTAGGTCTCACATGTGACCTCTATATATATTTATCTTGTCAAACAGATGTATAAGTAAAAGGATAAAGATATTTTGAAGTTGGATTTTTCAGATTTCCTTAGCAGCATCTATGTTCATTAAGCATTTGAAACAACTGCAAGCCTCTACACTTGAACGCATGTCAATGCCCCCATTCCGTGAACGTGCAAGGGAGCAATATTTGCGCCATCTCTGGCATCACAATGAACAAGTCAAAGCTGAGAATTCTGCCCTTTCTGCCAAAATTGAGGAGCAGAACAAGGACATTCAACTGAAACTTATGGCCAAGACTCTAATGATCAAACAGCATGAAGCCAAGATTGAGCGGCTGAACAGGAACTGTGAACAGGATATAAAGAAAAGAGTGTAAGTCTGACAGTTGTCAGAGATACATTTGATATGTATGGCGTTTCAGAGTTCACTCTGCTCTTTGTCTTCCCATAAGTGGTTGTCATTATACGAGGGGGGACCCAAAAATAACCGGAAACGACCTGTTGCGCGCGCATGCTTTGTAGTTATGAGTTGTGCTGCTAGGTGATGTTAGCTGGGGGTCTCCCGCGACTGTTAGTGAGCTGGCGTCAGTCTGAGTTAAGTGGTTTGTCTGTGGTGCTCCGTTGTGTGCGTTCCTGTTTCAACCCTTTGGCGATTAGTGAGATGGCCGACCAGAAGGACCAAAGAGTGTGCGTGAAATTGATGAAGATCATTGAAAGACCATTGACCAACTTTCTGAGGAAACGAACATCTCATGGAGCACGGCCAGCGAATTTTAACTGAAGGTTTGCACATGAGACGGGTGTCTGCAAAATTTGTTCCTCACTTGCTCGGAGATGACCAAAGAGAAAACCGCGTGAATGTTTGCCACGACTTGAAGAGTGAAGTGCAGTTTTCCCTAACAGAAAGCAAACTTTCACGTGTTGTGGCTGACTTGTCAATATGCTGGAGAACAGGGCAGTGCCCATCTTTAAAGGTAAATGATTAAATAGCAGCCCAGAGCCACTATTTATAATTCTGCGTTCTGAATGGTGGAAATGAAATGAACTGTGTGGATATCATTTAAGTCAGTCAGCACTTAGATCACTTCTGAGGACCAATTATTTCAATTTCATTCTGAAGAAGTAGTGAGAAGTACGGAGACAATGAAAAGGCCTTATCATGATCATTTGATCTTAACATTTATCTGCTTTCCTATAGGACACACATCCATTGACAAAATGCATGATTTCCCTTGTGGTCCGGACCTGTAAGTATTGGTCCAGGATAGTTTCACATCTGTACCTTGGAGACAGCCGTGTTCTCTGAATTGGTGTTAAATATGTCCATTATGAAATGTTATCACCAGGGCCAAGATTTTGATGACCTGAAAATATTTAAAAAATGACCTATAAAATGACTGAAAAAATCCAGAAAAATTACCTAAAATACGACCCAAAAATGTAATACGCAGGGCCCGGATCTTGATGACCTGAAAATATTAAAAAAATGACCTAAAGGAAAAAAGAAAGAACACTTCACTTCCACGTTATTCACATTTCAGAAAACATATGAAGAAAAATTCCCTAAAATGGCCAAAAATGACAAGAAATACCCTTAGAAGTCCAAAAATTTACCAAAACATTACCCCAAAAATGACAAAAAATTACCTATAAAATTTACATTTCTGTAACCAGCAGCTCATATATATATAAGAGCATCGCATAGGATACAAGGAAAAAAAGATGACATGTCATCAAAATCCAGACCCTGGTTACCACTGAAGAATGGAAATATTATGAACCACAAACTGCCATGAAAACCTGAAGATGTATATAAATACACTTTATTGTATATGTTTAGTTATGATTCGGAGTGCAAGATGGTGAGAGAATGGCGAGAGAGTGAGATCCAGCAGGAAGCCATGACCAATGAAATAAGGAATGCTGATGTCAAGCTGAAATCCTTGTTAAGTATTCATCTTGCCCAAGAAAAGGAGCTAAGAGCAGAAAGGTAATCCTATCCTATTCTGTTACTTTGACGGAAGCTTTGATCTTAAAATTTTATTTTAAATGACAATTTTAGTGTATTGTACTAGAAAGTAGATGTATGTGATGTGGCAAACTTTGTCATATACTATAGGTCTTTTTAACAATTGCTTGATAGCACTGACAAGATAAAATATAACTGTTTGGATGATATGGCTTGCCAGTATGTGTGGAGTGGCAGGTCGTGGGTTTGACAGTGGTTTTCCTGCCACCTGTGTGTGTGTTGTCCTGACAGCTTGGGCTATCTGTGTGAGGCCTGATTATATGTTTTATTGGACTGGGGACGAGTGATGCGTGACCATGAAATTGTAATTTTGTATTTTTATAAATGTAATGTTTTTATATCTTGGATTTGTTACATATGTTTAAGCTATATGACAAAAATATTCTGTTACTTTTGATGGAAACTTTTGTCTTAAATTTGAATGTATTATGCTAGAGAGAAATTGTATTATGATGTAAACATACATTGTCTTATTTTATAAGTCTTCTTGACAATTGCTTAAGAGTATTAGCAAGATAAATTGACACAATTTTGTATCTAAGGCTTTTGCCTACTATAGATGTAATGGAATAAGGAAGAAATAATAATAATAATAAAATAATGATAAAGACAAACACCACAAACTGAGACTGTTATAACACATTGTGGTTCAGCAAATATAAGTTCAGGGTAAAGAGATCAAAATGCTGATGATATCTGGCTCTATAATACAGGAAGCAAGTGGACAATAAACAAAATGATATAACAAGGACCTTCATAATTTCTACTCTTAGCCTAACTCAAGTGGACATTAAAGCAAGGAGGGTGGCCACACAGCACACAAGGGACATATGAATGCATACTAAATTGGAAAACCATAAGGGACCATATCACCTCGCAGACCTGGGCCTGTAAATGGGATAACAGTATTGAAATGAAACTTAGGAAAGTTGGGTGGGAAAGTGAGGACTGGACTGGCTCAGGTTAAGGTTTAGAGAATGTGTTTTATGAAATGAGTACAAAACCTTCGGGTTTGATAAAAGATGGATTAATTTTTTACACCACCCAAGTAACAACCAACTTTGCAAGAAAGAGCCTGCAATGCTGAATTAATTATACTTTACTATTAGATATGTTATGGTATGGGAAGTTAACTATATTTGCATTCTATATAGTTTCTGGCTATTAAATAATGATATTCCTTCCAGATGGGGTTCTCATAGCTTTCCTTATTCCAATCATGTAAATGCTGAGGAAGTATTGCACAAGCAGGCTATGATTTCATCCTCTCTAAATCATACTCATCCTGCCATTCCATTCCACATCAATTAAACTCATTCTATACTCTTGCTGCAAGAACTGAGAGAGAAAAAAAAATCTGTCAGGATGTCTGACTGGACTAAGACTAGAACCAAGACTTTCCTGAATATGAAGCAGGTGTGCCAACCATTACACTAAAATGCTCAGTTACTTTTTATTCTCAATATTTCTCATGTTTGTAGGCTGAAGGTACAGACACAACTGATCAGCTGGCTGAAGAAGTATGATACTGATATTGGAGAGAAGCAAGCCATGTATGATGAGGTCTTGGCTGGTTTTGAAGAGGAGAAACGACAAATGAAAGAGCTCATGGTAAAAGAGAGATTCACTTGCAGATTAATAAGTTATCAGTGAAAGTAGTCATTAATTCAAAGAACAGCCATTATGCATGACACATCTTTCAGCTGATCAATATGAAGAAGGCACAGTCATCTAAGGTTTAAAAAATGGTTCTTTATGTGCTTTGACAATGAGCAAGGATTAGATCCCACAGGAACGGTCTTTAAAAGACAGCAAAATTTCATTCTCTTATCCAGCGCTATAAAACCTGTTCACTTGAAATCATTGTCAAATATGGTAAAATCAAGATTTGAAAGGTGAAACCTGTATCAGGAAATACATAGTTACAGACATTCTTTGCAAATTATTGATCTGAATTCAAACTCAGGAGTATAACAGTTTCCCAAAGCTTTAAACACTGTGGCTACTTTGGTTTCTATCATTAACAGAAACACACTTCTTACTATTACTGTTCTTAATATGCTTCCTGACAACCACAGTGACCACATGGTCTAATGTATGTGCTGTTTTGGCCACTTGCCAAGTGTTGGGCAAGCTGTGTTTCTATACTAACATTCTTGATTGCGACAGTCTGAAGGGTCGCCTTGGAGCCCCACAGTTTCAAACCTCCATTTGTTAGGCCTTGAAGGGAATAACAATGAAACATGACCAAGCAAAATTTAGTCGAGGAGAACCCCATGATTTACTAACTAGAGGTTTCTTAGTATTTAGCGACTTATCCCCAAAGCTATAATCATCTATGTAAAGACAATGTTACTTCATTCTAAAACTCTGTATTTCTGTGGCTGCAGGAACAGTTTATTACACAACAGGTAGAATATGAAAGATTAATGAAGGAGAAGGCAGATGAGGAGCAAGCTAGGCTGGAAAAGAAAATGTATGCCTTCATCACCAACACATCAGCACGACGAATTCAACGATACTGGAGGGCTTACAGAGCTCGGAAGTTGGCTCGTCGGAAGGGACGAAAGAAACGGCGGGGTAAAAGTGATGGTAGCGCAAAGGACCTGAAAGAAACATCATAAATAAATAATCACCACTAATTATGAAACAAATTATAAGATGGGCAGCAATGTGAATACGGAGTTCAGAGCCAACATTAAGAAAATATGCAATGGTACCATCACCTTCTTCACATTGTCCCTTTCTCATTTCTTGAGTCCTGGATGACCCTTTCCCAGGCAATCTCTCTTGGCTCACTCCTGTTAGGTCTCTTCTAAGACAACCAATACCTCCACTCTGCCAGCATATGGGTCACGTAGTTCTGCAGTGCTCAGTCCCTGGCGACTACGTTCCGATGGGGCCTCCACCCCTTAATACTCACAGCCTGGACAGTTATTCAGCTGCCACTTTTGCAGCCTCCAGCTTTAGGGCCTGGCTGAATGTCCTCTTACCGCCTATCTTTCATCCCATTCACAAATGCATAGACTGCATCCTTCAGGGATGATACTCAAGTAACCTCACAATATCCCAGGGGGCCACCTGCTCAATGACAGCTGCAAATTCTTGCAGCACCTCACTGCTCAGCTGTATCCTCAATTAGCTGAGAGCGGTATGCCGCAGTCACCTGATCACCGTAACAGTCCCTGAGTGCCTCATCATGTTTCCACATGCAAGTTCTGCAGGGAGTTTTGCAGTTGGAACATTTCAACCTCTCCATAACGAGCTGCCATGTCTGATCCACCTCCAACCCACTATCCCACTTCTAACGCTGTCAACTGAAATGACTGTGCTGTGGTTTCTGGTTGTAAATGGATTAGACACTGACCCCTTAGTTACATGTGATTAAGTCAGCCATTTGACCCTCCCCCCCACACTGTCACCTTAACTCCTTGTTTTCCTCTATGCTGCCTGGTGGTACACCTGGTATAGACACAAACATTTGTCATAGGTGAAGTCTATTTTAATTTCAAGAGATAGTTCTGTTCTGAGATCTGCGAGTCATGCATATGAATTTCTCTGTAGTTTACTCAATGGCACTATACAATTCAGACAATATACCACCAATCAATGTTATGGAGGTTTCAACACAGTCCTAATTATGTGGACTGACAAAAGTGTGTAAAGCTGCTAATAAAGTTTATCATTCACACTTCCAAAATCGAAATATAATTCCCGTCTCACCATCACATCACATTCTCTCATTTGACAGCCAACATTAAACCTTATAATGACAAGATAAACAGATTGACAGTAAAAGAAATTACATTAGTGCAAACATTGGTTGAACTGATTTGCCATATCTGACATGTTTACCATTTGTTGCTGCTACAGAAAACTGTCCAATGGAGGCAACGGCAAACAACTACATCCCAAATGGCAGGGTAAAGAAACTGGCGATTTTTATATGTAAGTCTTTAATTTATTGTTATTTTTTTAACCTTGTATAATGAGACACTGTATTAGAGCTGGCAAGGAGATATATATAAAAGACTACATCACATCCCAGAAGTACAAATATTGTTTTTGGACATTATCCATCATCTTTTCTCTATCTAAAAACCGTCCCATTTATTTTTCAAAACACAATGTTTTGGAGACTGGATTCTGTCTCCGTCTTCAGGTAAAACCTACTCGGTTGGGCCCAATCAATAGAGTTGGGTTTTGAAAAATAAAAAGGACGGTTTTTAGATAGAGACAAGATGATGGATAATGTCCGAAAACATAATATTTGTACCCGTTATAAACTTTTAGATCTTACATCCCAGAAGTCATCTTCATAGTCACAGCCATGTGACGCTCAAACCTAAAATATGAAAATGTCCTATATAAAACGTGGATTGCATTCACATACAAAGTTTGCATGGAAGCAATTATGAAATCAGTCACTTTGAAGACTGGCTAATCACGATATTTATCTTTGCAACACTGGGAAAAATTATGGCATTTACGACACAGAATGATCTCATATAGCATGCAAAAACGGTGTGTTTCTTCACTGAGAGTTCTTGAACAATCACCATATCACCATTAAATAGACTGACATGAATAAAATGTTATAACTGAATATTGTGATCATAACTTTAAATGAAAACAACAAGATGAAAGCTGCTTCAGCGATGCGTGAAAATACCACCACCAACTCTGAGATATTTGTAGGGTCTGCTGCGAGTTCTACCCCTGAAAGAATCAAGTTATATTAATTAGTAAGCACTTACTCTGTATGACTGTGAAACTTGGTCATTCACCCTAACAGAGTCTGAGAACAAAATGCTGAGGAGAATATTTGAATTTAATAACAAATAAAGGGAGGACTGAGAAAATTACACAGTGAATCACTTCACAGTTTATACTCTTCACCTAATATTGTGACAATTAAATTAAGGCGACTGAGATGGATAGGGCATGTAGCACACGTGGGAAAATGGAAATACACACAGAATTTGGTCTGGAAACCTTAAACAAAGAGTAAAGAGACAGACTTAGCTTTAAAGGGGAGGACAATAGCAAGAGTGATTTTTGAGAAATGGGGTGTGAAGTGTGGAACAGACTGAAATGGCTCAGGATAAGATCCAATGACAGAATTTTTTAATACCATGATGAACCTTTGGATTTCTGAAGAGGGAATTTCTTACATAACTGTCAACTTATCAAGATTCAGCACAATGAATTAAATAAGTACATAATTTCATATTCTAATGTTTTCTATTATTCTCTGCTCAGGAGGAAGTCAACTGAAAAAAAATCTCAGTTGTTTAACCTTTATCGGACGAACGACATCATGTGATGTCGTTAAAAGTTAGGGCAGCTGGCCGAACGTCATCATATGATGTCGCGGATTCCACGCGTGTAAGGTTTTTTTTAATATTATATTAAAAATATAAATTGTTGTTCTATTTACATGATTTTTGGTCACCACCTTTATAAGGAGACAGCCTTCGTTCCTGCATGATCTAATGTAATCTAGGGACGTCATATGACGTTAAAAGTAAGGACAAATTTAAGAACGACATCATATGATGTCGCGCATTCCACGCGTGTAAAGATTTTTTTTAAATTAAATTTAAAATATAAATTGTTCTTCTATTTACATAATTTTTGGTCACAACCTTTATAAGGTGACAGCCTTCCCTCGTGCGTGATCTAATGTAATCTACAGACGTCATATGGCCGAACGACCTCATATGATTTCGCGCATTGCACCCGTGTAAAGATTTTTTTAAAATTAAATTTTTGCTCTACTTACGTGATATATGTTCACCATCTTCATGAGGAAACAACCTTCCCCCCTGCGTCAT